AGCCTTGCCTTTCCCCTTCCCTGCAGGCACAGGTCATGTGTCCCTAAAAGAACTATGTGAGATCTTTGTTCCATACTAATTAATCCCACACTACTCCTATACTCCCTTAACTCTTACATGGGTCTCATCTCTGGGTTACATTTGCATTTCAGTGTGGATCAGAAGTCCACTTTTGAAGCAGATCTTTTATTGTGGTTTGATTCACATAGTGGAGCAGCTTTCTAGCATGTGAACTGGATTCCTTCTCAGTTGACAACTAAGCTAGATGGTGTGCTCCCACCAGTAATCTGCATTCAGTCTGAGGGACTAGATTAGAGCTGGTCCACAGTAAAGCCCACAAAACATGCATGGTGTGAACACTAGGTGCTCAGTGCTAACTGCCTTGTTCTGCAGGTCTAGTCCTGTTGTGTTTCCTATCACATAGTCACAAATCAGCTTTCCTTGACCTTGAAGAGTCATCGGAGGCAATTCAGAAGCAAACTGTCTATTAGAGACAAATGGGTTTAGTGCAGTATTACCTTCTTACTTTTTCCTTTTCCTGTGAAAATGCTTGGTTGAAGTCCATGTTGCACATAAAACAGGAAGTGCATTTGGTACTTTAACCAGCTGCTTGTGAAGGAGCAAAAACTTTTGAACAGCAGCAGATGGCATGTAGTCGTTTCTTAAACATGTGAAAGAGATCTCTTTGCATAAGACTTCACCTTCTGGAAATAATTTATGAAATGTTCATCTTTGTGGCTGAAAATGCCAACTTAATTTAGGAATAGGGAGCTAAAAGTCAAAGTTGTAGGTCACATCCAATCTGTAGGCAGTTACAAAGTTCTCTGCCCTGTAGAAGTGAGACAGGATAGCTGCTAGGAGTCACTTAGTTTCCCAAATGCTCCTGAGATAAATCCTGCTGCAGCAAACAGTCTTCTGGTAACAAAAGTGTGAGAGAGCGAATATCCTCTTTCTGTGGAAAGGCCTGGTACTGGTAAGTGATGTATTTTGAAAACGATTGCAGGAGACCTACACACTGAGACAGTAATACAATATTTTTGACCACTCATTGAATCTTGCACGTTAAGTAAGAAATATGAAAATCATGAAGTGCTTTTGTTTCAGTCATTATTGGGAAGTAACACTAATGTAGCCACTCTAGCACCACCCTGTGGGGAGCACTGAGCACAGAAGGTCAACAGCCTACAGACCCGCCACCGAAACATCCCGACCCACAACGATAAGGAAAACTAGCAATGTATTTTCAATACCAAGGTGCCCAGAAACCTTGTTTAACAAAGACATAGGTGGTCTGAGCAGTGGGATTTTTTTGTTTTGTTTTGTATGTAAGAGAGTTTATAGTTGAGGTGTCAACAGAAGAAACGGTCACCTTTTGTAGTGATAAGAGTACCATGTTAGGGGTCTTTGCTGCCTTGCCTGCAGGGGAACGTCCATACTAGCATTCCCTCTCTTGCAATGACACCCTAGCTGATGTAGATAGAAAGCAGTAAGGAGAACACTTATGCACACAAGGCCATATAAAGTAATTGCATCTCTTGTGGGGAACGGAGCTGAAAAAACAGACCTTGGGAGCATAACTTTGGGAACTCACACTGACCAGTGCCTCTGTAAATTGTGGACTCCAAATTAAAGCTTATCCTTCTGCCCTACCTACAGAGTCAGCCATTTCATTAATTTCTTTTGCATTTCAGACCGCTGACCACTTCGTGTCTTTCTGCTATGGAGTAGCAGTAACAGTGTTTGTGTGATTTCAAAGAATGTGGCAGTAGTCATGTATTGGTTTTGCTCCTATGAATATAAAGTGTGTGATGTAAGTTTGCGTGTTTTGTCTTCTGCAGAATACCGTATCTTGAAACCAGTGCAGCTAATGGAAATAATGTAAGCAAAGCCATTGAAACTCTGCTTGACCTCATTATGAAGCGCATGGAACGGTGTGTGGATAAATCCTGGATCCCAGAAGGGGTAGTGCGCTCCAATGGGCACAGCTCTACAGAACAACTGAATGAGGAGCAAGAAAAAGGCAAATGTGGCTGTTAACTCAGTTAAAAAATGTATATGCTAAAGTATAGTACAGTTGCAGCTTAACTGTTTAACTTACAAATCACATTGTGTAGTTATTTAATGAGCTATATTAATTATTGATAATAATTTTTGTTGTTTTCCTCTCAAACAACATTCACCTTTGCTTGCAGGGTATGCAGTTTATTAGTGATGGGACAGAGATTTAATTTGGTGTAGCACTTGGATATTCCTCTAATTCTCTACTTCGGAGGGAAGGGAAGGTAATTTCTAAATTACCAAATTTAGAAACATCTCTCTGTATGGGCAATGAGAAAGGGTAGGCTTCTGAATTGAAGGATTTTCAATTGCCCTTTGAAGGCTCCACTAACTACACAGACTAGGCATTTAGATTAGATACTGTGACAGCTCTTAGTGTCTACTAACAGCAAGCTTACCAACATGGTTCTTGGCTTTGAACAGAAACATTTAATCATTTCATCAATCAATAATAATCTTAAAGAGCAAATCCTGTGTTTTCCACAAAAGCCTGTGAATAGCTTTTCCTTGCTCTCTCAAACCATCAGTTTTAAGTGATGAAAACCAAAATAAAACTATTCTATATAGAGTAAAAAACTACAAAGAAGCACAGGGGTGCATATGTAGAGCACTTCAGGTATGTCATGAAATTGAACATGTAAACTACAACTGTACTATATAAAATATATCCAACACAGCCTGTGAGACCTCCTGACATCATTTGAATTTCTAGAACATGCATATACATATATTTATATGTAAATGGCATAACTGTACATCTGTTGTTATGTTTCATTTATGTTACCACTCCTGTTTTAACAGGACTGTAGGGCAACCTAGATGTCAGCAAAATTTCATTAGAGCTAGTGCTTTGCACTGAACTTATTTCACCAAACACAGATTTGGAACGTTTCTTCAAATTTGGATTGAAAAATGAATGATGATTGTCTTCTGGTGAGATGCAGCTAAAATACCAGTTCTGTCTAGATCAATATTTCTATAAATTTATAATGCTCATTTTATTCTGCCAGCCTTTGTGTCCTGTACATCTTGGTTACTATACATTCATTTATGGCTTGTTCATTTCCTTTAGGTTGTATTTAAAAAAGAATAGAGTTGCTTTTCTCGCTTTCCCCCTACAGATCACACAAATGTCAATTTTGGTTTCAGTGGATCATGTTACTCTTTGATCTTTTTTATTTATTCATACAACCTAAGGAACAATCAGTATTTTTGTGGTCTTTTTTCCAGACTGATTTATAAGATGTGCCTACCAAACTGTTTTCTACCCTGGCAGAAGTTGTATAACTCTAAAGTATTGCCAACTAAAGTCATAACATGCCAAACTGAGTCTTTTTACTCAAGACTTTCCACAGCAGTTTGTTTACAAAACTCCAAAGCTGTTACTTCTTTAGAAATTATGTCTTTATTTATTTAAATATTCTAACAACTGCGATTTCAGACAAACGTTGATACCAGTTGTGAACATGAATTGCAGCTTACAGATTTTTTTGAAGGACCAAAAATGTTTCTAGAATAGGAGCTAATAAAAAAAAAAAAATTTGGTGTAGCCTCTGGTTATATTAATAATGCAAGAATAAGTGTTAAAACTTGGTTCTTAAAATATTTTACAAAGTAATGCATTGTTCTTTAACAAACACAACATGTAAATATTAGATTTTTATCACAGCCTACACAGAATATTTTAAAAGTGCAATGTAACTTGACTGCTTTGGGGCTAGGACAGAGATTAAAGCAATTTATATTGAATAAATATAGGGTTTTTTTCTACTATACAATACCAAGATTCTAAAATGCTTGTGGACCGGTGTTACTGTAGTTTAACTCAGAGTGCCTTTTGAAGTTGCCATCATGTTTCTGACCAGTAGAGTATCAAACTCTGCTGTAGGACACAATACGTTTCAATGTACTTCAGTGTCTGAATTTCTTTTAATGTAACTCTCTGCTTTTCAGAGGGTTGCAGTGGAACTTTGTCATGTGTTAATTTTAATGGGAGTCTTTGTGCTTATAGCTCCATCCAGTTCCTGAAAACAGTAAGGATTATTGCAACCAACTACTGAGCTAAGTGACTACTGAAATGGTGTAAAAGTATTTCCTTTTGAATACTTATATTTAGATTGGATATTAAATACCAAAACTGTCATATTTTTGTCATGCATATTATATGTAACTATTTACTGTATAAAGAGAGTCTACATAAAATTGCTTTGATGTCAGCCTTTTAAATGTGCCATAAGATTTATCTGTTTGAATTATTCTGTGGCAAAACTTTTTGTTCCCTTTTTAGCTCTCAAGAGAAATCACGGTAAATGTTTCTTGACAGTGAATTGCACTATTCTTACTAGTCTAGCACTGGTTTTAAAAAACAAATAAACAAAGAAGAATTCTCATGTGATGAGAAGCTGTTATTTCGAAAAAAGTTGTTTCCGTCCAGTGTCTGACGAAAATGTTGATCTGTAATGGAACAAAGTTTTGGAAAGGATTTCTGTTATGATGCTTTGCCCCAGGATTTCTTATTAATGTAAAATAGTTAAACATTCCTGATCTGAACATTGTCAGCATTTGTTGAACTGAATTGTAACGTTTCCTGTTGTCTCAATTCAATAGCAGTCTGTGTCCTTCTGCACGGTCCCTATGCATTACGTTTTTTTTTTAGTTCAAACATGTTTAAGTTCGCTTCTGTGGCCTAGGTACTTGATGTTACCCTCTGGCACTGACTGAACCAGTCGGATGGGGATGCATCCTGGTGGTGATGCTCCTCCTGGGTGATGCCAGGAGGAGCTTAAACCCATAGAAGAAAAGAGAGGCAACACTTCAGTATTCATAAGACATTCAGAAAGCTGCTAATGTGAGCATGTAGCATGTTCAGAGCAAAGGGAATTAAGCAATATATTTTGTAAAGTCTACTGCTTCTACAAAGGTAAGGAGCCTGATTTTTCAGAATGGCTGTTTCCATCAAGAGCAGTGTAGATTACCAGGTAGGTTATGATATGCTGAGATTCCTTGACAGGCAAGAGAAATGAGCTGAACTAAATGTCATTAAGTTTAACAAGGGCAGGTGTGACTGGGTATTCCATCTGGGTTGGAATAACCCCATGCAATAGTACTGGCTGAAAAAAAATTTGCAGAAAAGGGGATGGGCATTCTGTTTAAAAGCAGGTTGACCAGGAGCCAGAAGTGTGCCCTTGTGGCAAAGAAGGCCAGCTGCATCTGGGGCTGCGTTAGTAAACTGAAGCCAGCAGGTTGTGGAAGTAAGCGTTCCCTTACTCAGTAATTAGACTGCATCTGGAGTTCTGTGTCCTGTTTTGGACACCCCAGTAGAAGAAAGACATTGACACGCTGGAGTGAGTCCAGCAGATGCCACCAAGATCGGGGGCTGGAGCACAAGGTGTAGGAGGGGAGAGAACTGGGTTTGCTTAGCTCTAAGAAGAAAAAGCTAAGGGAGACCTTTCTGCTGTCTTGAACTATCTAATGGGAGAGTTTACAGAAGACGGAGCCAGACCCTTCTCGGGGGGCACAGGGACAGGAAAGAGGCAACAGAGAAAAGTTAGTGTGTAGAAAATTGTGATTAGACATTAGGAAAAAATTGTCACGATACAGGTAGCCAGAAATTGGAACAGGAGCTGAGGGAGGTTATGGAATCTGCATCTCTTGAAGACATTAAAAACTCAACTGGATGTGGCCCTGAGCCACCCAGTGTAATTTGTCCTGCTTTGAGCAGGACTTTTGCTCTAGATGACCTCCAGAAGTGTCTTCCAACTGACATGATTATATGCTCTATGAACCTGATCCTACAAGCGCACATGCCTGACACTTGTCGGTTCTTTTATATGACTGAATATGACAGTTTATATGGACTGTGTATGACTTCTTTTACTTCTATTAGGAAACTTGGACAAGTACATAATATTTGCAGACCAGAGCTTTGTTATGAGTTTAAGGTATTGAGTTGAGATGTTTGGTGAAGCAATTCTTGCTGTGGTAATCTCTGTCAAAAATCAAACAAATGAGTCAGCTTTCTGTAAAACCTCTTCTTCCAGTGAGGCTGTTTTTCAGCTGGATACCTAATTCTGTCTGTGAATAACTGTTAATGGAGTAGAAGTACATATTCTTTTTTGATAATTAATCTGGATTCTGGCTCCAGCAACCTTCAATCTATACTGCCTTTTGGATCAGGAATAAGCACTTCCAATCCACAACATAATGGCTTGTAGTTGAAGAGGAGATTAGCACCTCGATATGAAAAAAGGAGGGGGAAAAAAATCCAATTGTACATGCTTGTAGTATCACTGTGCTCTCACATCCCATCTGCTGGAGGCGTTGGTGACAGTCTGTAATCCACAGTGTTTAAACTGTAGAAGGCACCAAAGACTTCACAATACAGTACTCTGCTAGGAAAAAGCTGTCTTCAGTGAAATAAATACAGCCCATGGGTGAAAAAAGTCACATGGGCAGGAAACTCGAAGTAATCAAACTGAAAAAGAAGGATTGCAATTGCACATGCCAAAGTACAGCAGCCCTAGACCTAAGCAAAACTTGTTTACTATTTGGTTTTGCCTCTAGCTGTAAACTTGGTGTCTTGATAGCTTCCCTCATAAAGTTGCTTTGTGTATGTGTCTCTACTGTTTCCTCTTATCAGCTGGGTTGCCATCTTCTGTCACAGCCACAGCGCCTTCCCTCCGGTGTGCAGCATGAGACTAATACCCTGTACAGTCCTGTCTTGCTCTCTCTCTCCGAGTCGGTTCGGAGCTGTTGTTCCTTAGGGCTGGGGGTTGAGTACTAGTCACCAGTCATATGCTCTAGCCTGTGTCTCCTGCAATAGGATGTGGCTGAGGTCTGGTTTTCAGAAAGATTGGAGGCAAGTTCTGTGCTGATAAGGTTACTGACTCTACCGTGCTAAAGCAATTTTTTTTTTCCTTCCTTCCTTCCATCTTTCTTAATATAGCCCCAAGCTGACTGCCTTTTTTGTTGTTCTAGAAACCAGAAAGCAAAAACCGCCCTAAAGGCACATGCAATTCAACACATGGATTTTTCACCAAATACTCAGATAGGTAATTTCTTTTAAATGGAGAAGCAGGAATTGTGGTGGTAAACCCTTAGGTGGTGAGGAAGATTTCAGGCTGAGCTGGGACGGCATCCTAAGACTGAAGAACAGAGAGAAGACCCTCTCCAGTTCCAAACAACTTAGGAAGGTACAGGGCCTAGCATTTAGGCCCTTTCACAATAAACAGGTAACTCTGTGGGACGGGGAACAGAAGGAGTAATAGGTTCCTTAGAGTAATGCGTGCAGAGCCATTGGTTTTAGACAGTACTTCAAATTTTGCTTTAAAAATTAAGAAGACTTGGATCTTACAAATACGGAAATGGAGCAGAAAGTGATTTGCCTGAATTCTAGAGTAAATCAACTGTAGATGCAAAAATCTATGTCTGACTCCCTTTCCTTGGGTTACTGTCTCTATGTTAATACTGAGCCATTTCAGCTTCATTAATTTTTCACACTTAGAACAAAACTTTGCATTTATAATGACAAACCAGAGGGGATCAAACACAAGCTGATCACAAAATCTTTTAATTTGTATTTAATTTCCATACTAAGATAGGAATGTATGTTTCAGGGAAGTAGAGTCATCTGGGAAAGAGAAAAGTCAGCTTAGTTTAGAAGATGCAGTATTGTCTAATAGTTCGTCCCAACTTTATTTCTGTGTATGGGTTGGGTTTTTGTTTTGGTGGGGGGTTTTTTGTTGTTTTTTAATACTTTCATGAGCATGAGTATCTCTCAGCTTTCAACAGGATTCTCTCTGGTGAAATCAAAGAACGGACCACGCTCTTCACAGAATGGATTGCAGTTAGCGTGCATGTGGCTGATGTGTATATCTGGTGAGTGAATGTAGCATGTTTGTGTTTTTTGGCATATTACTGCTTTTGGTAGATACTCTTCTCACCCTCTTCCCCCCGGTAGCCTGTTTGTGTAATGATTTAGAAATTGTGGCTCAAATCAGCCAATAAATGGAGCTTGCTTATAGCTTCAAAGAAAGCACAGCAATGAGAACTTCGACACAAACTATAACCTCAGCATTGTTCATGTGGTGGCCTTGTGGCCTGGTTTCTCATTTTTGGAGCCATAATCTCTTCCGCATTTTCTATACAACTGATCTGTTTTATTAAGAGCTCTTGCTAAGACACATAATAAGTCTCGTGGTCCTCCTTGTATTTCACGATGGTTAAAGCCTGCCAAAGAAATGAAGACCAATTTGAAAAGCTTACGCTACTTTGCTAGAGCTAAAACCAAGCCATAATCCCCGAATTAAAAAATGACATTCTTCCGGAATTGCTTTCTGTGGGAGGGAATGTGGTCTGGAGCGTGCTCATTTTGGTGAGGTGAAGGGTCAGTCCTATGTTGTGCCGTAACGAGGTTTATGTCCAGCAGGAGCCGTCTTCCCCATTTCCCATTCAGTCTGGCAGAGACCACAAACAGTGGCCGTCTCTGGTCTCTTCAACCACGCTCAGGAAGAGGAGCTCTTCGTTTTTCAGGTAGGCTTTACGGGATCCAGTTTACAGGACTCCTGGGGGTATTGCTTTATTTTGGGCTGCTGGTTTCTTCACAGGATAGGTCGCTCGGATGCCTATAGCACGCGACAGAGGAGCATTACCGCTCTCGTGTTGCAAGGCTGTTCATTGTGGGTGTGAGGAGAGGCCTCCGCCGCCCCCGATACAACTGGAAGCGCTGTTTTCCAGCGAGTAGCGTGCGAAGAGAGGAAGTGATTGTGCCCCTGTACTCGGCACTGGTGAGGCTGCACCTCGAATATTGTGTTCAGTTTTGGGCCCCTCACTACAAGAAGGATGTTGAGATGTTGGAACGTGTCCAGAGAAGGGCGACGAGGCTGGTGAGGGGTCTGGAGAACAAGTCTGATGAGGAGCGGCTGAGGGAGCTGGGGTTGTTTAGCCTGGAGAAAAGGAGGCTGAGGGGAGACCTCATTGCTCTCTACAAGGTTGTAGCGATGTGTGTGTCGGGCTCTTCTCCCAAGTAACTGGCGAAAGGACGAGAGGAAACGGCCTCAAGTTGTGCCAGGGGAGGTTTAGATTGGACGTGAGGAAAAATTTCTTTACTGAAAGAGTGGTTAAAGATTGGCA